AACACCAGACCCCATTTTGACCCCCTAGCTGTATTCAGTCGAATATTATACACCATTGTGACCCCTAGCAGCATTAGATCCAATACCAGACCCCATTTTGACCCCTAACATTATTCGGTAATAAGCTTCCTGCTGACGCATATATTACGTTGTCCCGGGGTGTTTTCTTTGTTGCTGATCTGCACGGTTGTGTGGTTCGAAATAAAACACTTTGTTTATTAGCTAGAACACCGTCCCTCAACACGTTGAGGGACGGTGGGTAGAACAAGTGTTTTGAGTCTGTACAGCGAGTTCATCGCTGGGTCAACAGGAAATATGGTTATTCAGACCGACTGCCACCTTGCACCTCTCTGCCAATGGGAAGTCTGTCTGTGTCATATGGTTAGGTTATTCAATTTTTAATTAACCGGGCAGGGTTCAAATTGACGAGTAAACACACAGTTATCTCTAATTAAACATATTTATATGTGTGTGGTTTATGACGTACAGTTTTATCATTAAATTAAGCCCTAAATCACACACAAAAGCGACAATTCACACTACAACATATACAACAACTGATAAATGATTCGGAAGAGCAGAACAAACCAGTATACAAAGTACACGGTCAACTATGTATAAAGAAATTGAAGTGATGCCAGGTGATTCGTCCATGCGTTGCACTCATCATATATCATTCTGGGTCAGTCTCTAATGGTTTTGCTATGAAACCTGAGTCAAATTCAAGACAGACCTACAATGAAAACATATCCTTTATGTTCAGCTGGATATATCATCGGAATATTATCGCTAAATTTAAGATTTTTGGTGGAAAAACATTATTAATATATTTGCCTTCTTTGTACTGTTTTTTCTTAACTAATTCTTTGAAAGTTCAGCTTTATACGATAAATAAAGAAATTATGTTATTTCTTTATTATGTTATATTATATTATTATGTTATAAATTATGTTATTATCCAAACTCGCTGTCATATTTTGACAGTAAATATTGTGTAATTTACATGAAAGTTCAATACATTTTCACAAAGATATTCAGACTAAGCAAATGTGCGATGATATAGAAATGACATGAAATGAAATTACGTACGCTTTAGTTTAATTCCTTATTTTAAAATATTGAATGTGTAATTTTTAACAATAACAATAACGTAATTATTATATTGGATTGTAAAATACATACTTGCAAAACAATAATACGTAGCTTTGTTGTCAGTGGAGTACAACCAATTTAATATTCTGGTGCTTTTTGAGATTGGATTCCAGAATATTACTAGACCTAATCAAAAAAGGGAATTAGTTGTTCATTTAGAGGGTAAGTGACAAAGAAAACTGCACTCTCAAAGGCGTTTCCATTGAAAATGTATGTCTTTGACCTACTGATGACAAACTTGATTTAATGGCGAGACCCGTTTCTAGCATGGCAATGCAGAGTTGTGATACATAACTGTGAAATTACGTTCTTGATGAGAGGTGAGATAATGATGATAACACGAGTCTTGCAAGATGGTTGCTGTGGGTTTATGAACAAGTATCTCAGTCTACTGACTCACAAATTCCATGCGATTATGAACTAATTATGCATATTAAGGGCGGCAATCCACACATGTTGGTTGTTTTTTTCTTGTTCAACACAAAGGTTTGATAATGTCGGTTTCGGAAGACCATAAACACATATAACCAGAGTGTTGATCTTTTGTGTCTATATTTTGGCAACTCATTAGCGTTTGCCCAACTGTCCTTTTATATGTATGAGAAGGAAACACTGACGTCTTAATGCTCAACGTGAAACTGGTCGAAAACGAGAATCGTAGATTCTCTATAAACTACAAAAAACGCCACACACGCATTCTTAGTTAGAAATTACTGTTTATTACTGGAGTAGGTCTTCTTCTGGCTATACCACTGAATCAAAAATGTCAACTGATAAAAAATAACATACGATTGTTATTAGCTGATGGCGTACTCTTTGACACGTAAGTCAAGACAATTCCGTACACCGTGAAAATGACCAACAGTTGGCCGTGAAAACAGAAAGTCAGAAATAATTCAACTTGCAAACTAAGTGAAACGGTTCCGATACACAATTAACAAAAAAATATCAAAATATAGAATAGCATGTCATTAAAAAAAACGTTTTTAACCAATTTACATACTCACTCTCACTCACTCGCTCACTCACTCTCACCCACACTAGGATACACAATGGCCTGGTATGCTCCCAGACTGTATGCACTATATGCCACGTGTAATGCGAGTTAATTATAAATCACTTATTATTATTATTATTATTATAATAAATGACTCAAGAATTGCATGCTTACTACACAGCGTGACAATTTAACAATGATTTAACAGGACACGTAATCATTTGAATGCACAATAATGTCAACCTATGTTGTGACTATTAATTAAATATGAAATATGCAGAAAAATGTTAAATGTACTGATATATCCAAGCAAATCACATGGCGAAAAAGAAACACTGTTCATACACGTATTGCTACCTTACCGTTTTGGTTAAAAATGTTATACATGTAATTTATATATTTCGAGAGTAATTGAGAATATAAGTGTCCTATATTATTCTTATTATATATTGTTATACAAATTGTGGTTATTATTCACTCCAGTACCATGTTTATCTCAGGAGAAGGCATGGTTTGATATGCAGTCGTAATTTATCTTATCATGGGTTTCACGGAGTCGATACTGTATGGAATACATGACTTGTATTTACTCATGTCTGGTAAATTCTTCAATTCTTCTTCAGTGAAAGGAGTCACTTTTTCGTCATAGGCTTCTTTCGAACCAAAATATTCGTCGTTGTAGTGTACCCCAGGTTCCAGGTCCAGCTGTGAAAAGAATGAATACACATGTACAATGAAATCTACATCTTGGGTATGGTGTCATGAATTTGTTTTCGCGTATCTGTTGACCGACTTAATTAGCTGATTATTAGCTGAATTGCTGTGTTATGTCTGTCATCGTTCAGGCCTATTTGAAGTTTTGGACGGAACTTGGCTCAGTGATTTGGAACTAATTACGAGATAATCGTCGCCATTCTGACAGTTTATATTCATAGTTATTAATGTAGTGAACGATTAATCAAAAGATATGACATATTCAGTACTTAGTGTGATTGGCTTTATGATTGAAGGTTACGCCCTAGAGTCTTTTACTGTTTTGTAATTGGTTAGAGTTTTGAAAATGAATGAATAAAGAGAGTTTGAGTTGGTCTTGGGGAGCACAGCACGATAGACGCAGTAGAGAGAGAGTGCAGTCCTGGGCAGTCGAGAGTCCAGTCCAGGGGCGAGCCTTGAGGCAGTCCAGTCTTGGGCGAGTCTTGGTTCAGCCTTGTGAGAGTCTTGGGGACTTTTCCCCAGGGCGCTGTGTCTTATAGAGTGCTCCAAAAGATCGACTAAGACGAGAGTTGAAACGTATTTCGTTGTGTGTGTCTTATTTGACTGTAAAGTTAAAGTGACTTTCCCAATCCCGTACCTCAAGGGGACGAGATAGAGATACGAGACGAGTTTCCCCCCTGACAAGTGTGGAGAACCCAGAGAGAAGAGAATTTCCCCCTGATAATGGCATAGATGGTAGTGAGGAATACGCCCGTTTGCTTGTTTTGGGTGTTTTCAAAAGAAATTTATCAGGTGTTGTGAGGGGATCCGGAACACCACGATAGAGTCTTTCCGTTTTTGACATTGTAAAATACTTACGTTTTTAAGAAGAAAAATGCAGTATTGTTACTAAGTAAAATCATATTTATTATAATTGTTCATACATGAGATGAACACACTACATAGTTTGTAATCTACTTTTAGTCATAACTCAAACCAAATAAATAAAATGTGACCATACATCGACCAGGTGAAAATCCGCGTCACTACTCGACGTGATTCAGCATCTAAAAAGGTCGTTAATTCCCGTAGACGTACAGGAACAAAATATCTCATTTACCCTTTTGTCATTTTTACTAGATAGCCAGTTTCACCCCAAAAATATAAATTTACAAAATTGTAAGTAATATATTATATTGGATGTAACAATCCGTTCAGGGACAATCCGCCTTAGTTTCCTAAGATCGTTAGGGCGCGGTCATACGCGGCGTTGATGATAAAATAATGTCCGTTCACAGTCTGCACAGTGCTATTTTCGTGTTGATAGGTAGAAGTTCGTTAATAAAAAACAAATAAATCGTTTTGAAAATTTGTCCTGGGAAATGTTGGTCAAACTGATCATCATTTTCTGCCCATGTTTCAATAACAATTTTTAAAATTTAAAGAACTAATTTTGTTATTCAAACCTTGAACATTCCAAGTTTGGAAACTTACTATGTTTGGGCCAAGGCCACACCCCTAGTTTGTTATGTTTGTCCTGGCGTTTTCTTTTGTGCGTTTCTGTAGCCGTGTTCTAAAAGATAAACGATTACACACCAAAAACATGTGTCAGGGTAAACGACACTATTTTTTCTATACTTTAAAAATAAAAGATAAATTTGATTAGTTACATGGTTGTCGGTTCTTCGTTTTTGATGGTCTCGTTTTAATCCAGAAGTATTTCTGTCTTACTTTTTTTTTATTTATTGTCATAACATTGGTTGGCTGTGAATACTTACGCATTTGTTGATGAAATTTTTCATTCTATGTTGTGATGCCAGGGGGTTTTGGTCAAGAAACACGGGAGTA